GGGGGGCAGGAGGGAGACAGAAAGAAATAGGGGGAAAAAAGGAATGGAAAACATTACTTATCCGGGTATAGGGAAACAGACAGGCAGGCATGAAAAACTGCAGCTGTAACTGGGGTATGAGTGAATAGAAAAGAAATGGAACTAGCGAATAAACAAGTAGAAGGATTGACTAGATCTCATATAGAAGGGGATTAAAAGAAGAGAGGGCTGTGAGGGTTTGGGAAGAGACGTGTCACCCCTGCCTTTGAAGTCAATATCATTTATTTGTGTGGCTGGTCAGATGCTACTGAACAGAGAGTAGAGATTTACATATATCATTCCTTGCATGCTTTGGTATTGTGGTGCTGGGAGAAAGTGGCAAGAGATGCTCAGAGCGAGGATGCAATGTTGAGCTATAGTGAATTCTTGCAGAGGATACCTGAAGCTAGCCAGTAAAGAATGTTGCTGTTATTCCTATCAAATGCTGGAGAACAGTCAAAGGACCCAGGATCACAGAAGTTGTATAGTCCATGAAAGATGATTCTCCTCTCCTCTCATGTGTAAGAAGTTTCTCAGAAAGAATCTCACTGAAGATGGAACTAGTGTCTTAGCAAATAGGGTAGCAAGCTAGGGAGTTTTGGATGTAATTCCCTGCAGCATGGCATTCTCCCACACGTATCTTGAGTGCATTTAGACTTTGGTTTTTCCATCTTTTTTAAGCAGGTCCAAAGAAGGAATTGAAACAACTGTGAAATACATAGTAAGCCAGCTGTTCTCACCATAACCTAGAGAGGTATGCTAGAATGTTTGTTATAGTTTCCCACAGGAAACTTGGCTCTTTAACAGGGCATATTTTACATGGAGGCTGTGTCTAGGTATAGTCTGATACCTTCATGGAGCCTGAAAAAAAATTCTACAGGTAAGAGGCTTCTATTTATTTGTTTGTCTGTGCCTTTGCAGATTGGCATGGTAGCTTGGAAAATGACCCTTAAAAGTCCTGAATATCCAGAAGGCCGAGATATCATTGTTATTGGCAATGACATCACATACCTAATTGGGTCCTTTGGGCCCCAGGAGGATTTGCTGTTTCTCAGAGCTTCTGAGCTTGCCAGGGCAGAGGGTATCCCACGCATCTTTGTCGCAGCCAACAGCGGAGCACGAATTGGACTGGCAGAGGAAATTCGTCATATGTTTCACGTGGCCTGGGTAGATCCTGAGGATCCTTACAAGGTACAGACTAAGAAAAGATAAAACTTCAAGACAGTATATCGTGTTGTGTATGTGTGTGTGTGTTGTGTGTGTCTACACGTGTAAAGAGGTGGGGGAAAGGGAGAGGTTTAAGTTCAAAAGTCCGCACGCACAGTGAGCTATAACCATGTTGGAGACAAATTGTGTCTCAATATATTCACCAGGTTTTTTCTCCAGCTTTGAAACAGATTGCTGTTTCTTGAGTTGAACACCAGAAGAAATAAATACGCATTCATCATGGGACATGTTAAGCCAGAAATGCCTATCTTTAAACTATTCCACTGTGGCTTCCATGACTTAATGGTCATTTACTAAAGCGCTTATATCCTCAGCTTCTTCTCTACTTGAAATCTGCCTGTCCTCTAAAGACTCTGCTTTCCCTAGCTGTCTTACAGAGTGATTGATCTCTGTCTTTCTCTTGTACCACTGAACCTAGAGGGGGAAGAGTGTCTTCTTTGTGCCTCATTGCTACTTTCAGACCCTTTTCCCTTCTTTCTCTCTGAAAACCCCCATATATATATATTTTTTAGTGTTTATTTATTTTGACAGAGAGCAAGAGAGCGGAAGAGAATCCCAAGTAGGCTGCACACTATCAGCCTACTGTGCTCACAAACCATGAGATCATGACCCAAGCCAAAATCAAGAGTCAGGTACTTAACCAGCTGAGCCACCCAGGCTCCCCTGAAACCCCCATCTTTGAATTTCATGTCATCAGACTGTGCCAAACCACCACTTATTATAGTGGTCCCCAACTCTGGTCACTCCTCATTCTTTGCATCTTTTAGTTGCTGGCACATTGTCATTCTCCAATACAACTAGCCCTGTTATAATTCTTAGTGACTTCTATATCCATGTAGATGATCCATTCCATAATCCAGCATCTTAGATCCTTGACTTCCTATCTTTTACTCCAGCTCAGCCTCTTCTTCACCATAATCTTAATTTCAACCATCCCTTTCTTTGCTACCCCTTCATCCTATCTTTCCCACTCATTTTCTGTAGTATACCAAGTCCAGCAATCCTTTGAACCCTCCAGAATCTGCAACTGTTGATCCTACAACCTTTCTTCTGTCCTTCACTCCCTCTTTACATCCTAATTTCATTCCTGTCAGCTTGCATTCCAAGTTCAATCATAGGTTAATCATATTATAATGACTACATTTTCTACACCCTCAACTTTTTTCCCTCTTTCCTCATCCTCATTCTGCTTACTTTATCTCTTTACAAAAACCTTGTGTAAATCCAGTACTCTCCATGTACTCACATACATGAACCTGCATAGCTGAACACTGATGGAGAAAAATACCCACTACTGTTGACTGGTCTTACTTTCAATTCAAGTTTAGGAACTTGAACAATGGACAGTTTCACATCTTCCGCTCTCTCCTTAAAACTCCAAAATCCTCTTGCTCCATCCTCCTTCTTAGCTAACGACCTTGCTCCCCAGTTCACTGAGCAAATGGAAGCAATGAGAAGAGAGCATCCACAAGCTCTCACGTATCTGCATCTGTGCCTTTATTCTCTGCCATCTCCCTGTACTCTGGATGGACAGTCCCTGCCCCTGTCCAAAGCCAGTCACTCCTCTTGGACATTTACCCTTTCCATCTTAAATCATCACTTTTTCCCTGTACCAAATCTACCCCTTTAGCTTACAAATACTTAGCCCCCAATCACTACCTTTATTGACAGCAAAGCTTCTTAAGAGCATTGTCTCTTCTTGCTATCTCCAGACACTCTCCCCTCACCTCAGGTAGGCTTGCACCCTCACCGGCACACTGTACTGCTTTTGTCAGGGTCACCATGGATTCCATATGGTTAAATTCTGTCATGAATCTTAGTCTTCATTTGAGTTACTCGATGCCATAGCAGCATTTGACACAGTTGGTCACTCCTTCATCCTTGAAATACTTTGTCCTCTTGGCTTCTAGGGCCCAGAGTCTCCTTTTTAGCTTCCTGACTGCTCCTTCTCAGTTTTCTTTGCTAAGACATCTTGTCAATGTAATGGTGTTTCAGAGGATAATGGAAATATTCTAATATTTTGATTGTGGTGGTGATTACACAAGTGTATACATTTGTCAAAACTCACCAAACTGCAGTACATAAAGTCAAGGAATTTTATTGCACGTAAATTATACTTAAATAAAATTCCTATTAAAAGTGTATGGAAATTATTGATGACTACTCACAGGTACAATGTTTCTTTTTGGGGTGATAGAAATGGCCTGGAATCAGAGAGTGGTAATGGTTGCACAACATCAGGATATACTAAAAACCCTTTAAAATGGCCAGTTTTGGGGTGTTTGGCTGGCTCAGTTGATGAAGCACTCAACTCTTGATCTCAGGGTTGTGAGTTCAAGCCCCATGTTTGGTTGTAGAGATTACTTTAAAAAAAAAAAAAAGGGTCAGTATTGTGTGAATTTTAACCCAAGACCCTATATAGATTGGTCTTCCAATACCACCCTGCCCTCACTTCTTTCAGACAGTCTCACTCCACACTGGCTTCAACGACCTCCTTAAATATTTCTGAGGCACACTCATGTCCCTGCACTTCTGCACCTGCAGTTCCTTCTGCTTCGAATACTTCCTCTCCCAGTGCCCCCATATCCTCATGTCTCATTTCCTCCACTCTTCAGTGAAGCCACTTTCAAGGAAGACTTCCCTGGGCTTTTCTTTCTACAAGTTCACGTCTCACAACTCTCTGTCTCCCTCTCGACTCTTGTTTTTTTTACTTAAACAGTATTCTCATTAACATTATATGTTTATTTATTTCTGTCTCTCTCGCTAGAGTATAAGTTCCATAAGGCCAGGAAATTTTGTCTGTTTTGTTCATTCCTGTTTTCCATTGCCTAGAACAGTACCTTTCACATAAGAGGCACTCAATAAATACATGCTGACTGACATACTAAGGACCCTCCACACTACAAGGTTCTTGTCATACGTCATACAAATTCAGTGACAGATTCATGTCTTCCAGGTTGTGCTCACTGTGGGACAAATTCATTGAGTTAAGTGGTGGCATAATTTCTCACAGTATTTAAAACACCTTTCTCTGTTTACCTTTTTTTTTTTGCCTGAATGACTAATTCCTTTAAGTTAAACACATGTATCCTGTAACTCTATTTTGTGAGCATGTGTATGTATTTGTAAAAATAATTACAAAAAGCTAGTATAAATTTTTAAATGTAAATGGGAATTATAAGTTTTTATTTAAAAATGCAAAAGGCAGGGGCACCTGAGTGGCTCAGTCAGTTAAGTATACGGCTTTGGCTCAGGTCATAATCTCATGGTTCTTGAGTTCGAGTCCTGCCTTGGGCTCTGTGCCAACAGCTCGGAGCCTGGAGCCTGCCTCAAATTCTGTGTGTGTCTCTCTCTCTCAAAAATAAACAAGCATTAAAAATTTTCTTAATAGGGGCGCCTGGGTGGCGCAGTCGGTTAAGCGTCCGACTTCAGCCAGGTCGCGATCTCGCGGTCCGTGAGTTCGAGCCCCGCGTCGGGCTCTGGGCTGATGGCTCAGAGCCTGGAGCCTGTTTCCGATTCTGTGTCTCCCTCTCTCTCTGCTCCTCCCCCGTTCATGCTCTGTCTCTCTCTGTCCCAAAAATAAATAAAACGTTGAAAAAAAAATTTAAAAAAAAAAATTTTCTTAATAAAAAATAATAAAAATGCAAAAGGCATGAATTCAGTATTCATTGATGATTATCACTGTATATGATGATTATCACCGTATAGAATTCTGGTTTTAATATTGCCTTCCCATTTTTGTGATCCTCTCAATTATCTCTTAACATTTACTTTCTTTTTTTTTTTAAATCTGTTTATTTATTTTTTGAGAGAGCATGCACACATGCATATGAGTCGGGGAGGGATAGAGAGAGAGGGAGAGACAGAGAATCCCAAGCAAGCTCTGCACTCAGCACAGAGCCCAACGTGGGGCTTGATCCCATGAACTGTGAGATCATAACCTTAGCTGAAATCAAGAGCTGGACACTCAACTGACTGAACCACCCAGAAAACCCCATTGGATTTGAAAAAGCAAATAATACTAATCCACACATTTCTTTAATTTTGTGTTGATATCATTAATAGACGTGGCACAAAAGATCAGAAATTACCCTTTAAAAACCTGATGAAAATGAAATGGTTGGAATATATTCGCAGTTGTAGCTACAAGATAGCTTAATTCAAAGACAGTCAGTGACTAGAGAAATAGGCACTTCCATCTTTCAAAGGAGAACTGTCTATGCTAGTATTCTGTTAGAGTGATGTGACAATTTAAAGCTAGCTTTGGAACAAGCTGTGTTATGCATGCTTTGCTATGTCCTCTGGTTATGTGATGATGGCAAATAATGAGTTAAAAACTATTTGTACTTCACAGGGATACAAATACTTATATCTGACCCCTCAGGATTATAAGAGGGTCAGTGCTCTCAACTCTGTCCACTGTGAACATGTAGAAGATGAAGGAGAATCCAGGTAGGTATATATGTATCAGAATTATTTAGCCATGAATTAAAGAAAGGTGAATATGATCATTTCTTCCTCATTGTCCTGCTGATCATGACCTTGAAAGAGCAATGAAGATTGCTTATTATATAATCTGGAGGTCCGAGGTTTGTACCATAGCTCTACCACTAATTAACTGAAAGACCTTATCTTACTGATTAAGGTTTTTAAATTATGTTTATTATATTTATTCATTTTAGAAAAGTTGGAATATATAAACAATCATGAAGAAATAAAAATTAGCTACAAACCTACTGAGAAAGAACGTTATTAATGTATACTATAGTCTTGCTATCTTTTCTGTATATGACTTTGTTCTACATAATCAGAATCACAATAGAAAAACTCTTTTGTTATTTGTACTTTTCACTAAAAACTATTTTGGGGAAATTTTGTATATTCTTAAAATATTATTTGAGAATATGTTTAAGGGCTTGATAATATTTTATGATAAAATTTTATTTAATAATTAAATTGTATCTTTTTTGAACATTCAGACTATTCCAACTTTTTACTACTATATTCCTCAGCTGAGTGTTCTTTTAAATAAACTTTTAGGAATATCTATCATTATTCCCTTTGACCTATCTAAAAAGTAGAATTACTGGTCAAAAGATATGTCCGTTTTAAAGATATTTTTGATAATTTCAGATTGCCCTCCCAAGATCCGTACTCCACCAGCAGTATATGACAGTGCATTCTTCCCCTTTAATTTTTCTCCACTCTTGCCAATATTGATTATTGTCAATTAATAAAATAGGATAAAAATAGCAATTATTTTAACTGGTATTTTTGAATACTAGTGAGGTTTACCATTTTTACAGTCTGTCTGCAAGTACTTTCAGAATGTTAATCAACTATTACAATACCAATTATTGAGTAATTCGTACTTTCCTCACTTTTATAATAATCTTAATTCAATTACTAGGCTTTGTATCAGTTTTTTGTGCTGTCTATTCTTGGGGTAATGCCACATTATTTTAACTGTTTTAATGGGGCAGATTTCCTCACATTCTTAATTTTTCCCCATTTTATTGACTCTTTTTGTCTTTTTGTATTAGTTTCATTGTTTTTAATTACCAAAAACTTTCCATAATGATTTTGATTCAAGTTACATTAAGTTTATTAATTAATTTAGGAAATCTGACATCTTCATAATTATTAACTCTTCCCAAGAAAAAAACATGGCACGTTTTTCCTTTTTTCAACTGTATTTTTAAAAATTTTGTGGTTTTCTTCATATAGGTTATGCTGGAAGTTCCCACTCTGTCTTGGTTCATAACACCCTTGCTGTCTCAATAATTTTTTCACAGCAACTTTGAGCTAAAAGATATACCTAATATTTCTGTTTATTAAGTAGTCAGACCCAGAGAACTTCATAAGTATTTATACTCTAATAAATTAATAGTTATTTGAAAATAGGGGCGCCTGGGTGGCGCAGTTGGTTGAGCGTCCGACTTCAGCCAGGTCACGATCTCACGGTCCGTGGGTTCGAGCCCCGCATCGGGCTCTGG